AAAGAAAAGAAAAGAAAAGAAAAGAAAAGAAAAGAAAAGAAACACTTAAAAGAACAAATCACCCTGACCCTAAGAGAGACCATATTCATTTAAAAAAAAAAAAATGCATCCCATTTCATCACAATCGTTATTTAAAAAGTGAAATATTGGGACTGGGTACAGAGGCTCACACTTGTAATCCCAGCACTTTGGGAAGCCGAGGCAGGAAGATCACTTGAGCCCAGGAGTTCAAGGCTACGGTGAGCATTGATCGCACCGCTGCACTCCAGCCTGGGTGACAGAGTGAGACACTATCTCTAAAACAAAAATAAATAAATAAGAAATAAAAATGAAAAATTAGAAACAATCCAAGTGTTCTAAATGTAGGAACAGTTAAATAAAATATGGTTTATACATACAACCAAATCACATGGCATCATTAAAAACCATGTTTTTAAAAATTCAGTGGGAATGCCCATGACACAATATTCAGTCCAAAAGTAGTATGATGAAACTTTATAGCACATAGTCTCTGCTTTTTAACAAAAACATACACATATGCTTTTTAACAAAAACATATAGACATAATAAAACATTGATTGAAAGGAAACGTACCAAAATATCAAGTTTTTATCTGGACAGTAGAACAATTGGAGATTCTTATTTTCTGCTTTATACCACAATTTGGTACAAATCTCATAATATGGGGGGGGAAATTCAGGTATCAGTCTTTTTCTGTTTAATTATTATTTAGACTATTTATAAATTTTCTAGCATGTCTACTTTAAACATTGTATATGGTACATTTTGAAGAATACCTATAAAAGAAAGCAAAGGATCAGACAAAGAATTTTTAAAATTTCCATAGTTATTCCATCCAATATTTAAATATCTAATATATGAGCTCTGTACTACATTAGCTTCTGTGACCTAAACCAAAACATAGACCCTACCCACAAAGAGATAGCCAGCTAGTTGGGGAATCGAGAAATAGATCTTGAAAAGTTAAAAAGTTAAATTATGTAAGATTTAATAGTGTATATGTGGTTATAATTGCAGAAATTAAAAATCAGTCATTTTCTAAAAGAAAAAAGTAAAAATCAGTATAGGATTGATGAACTATTCCTCTGCAGAGGTAACTCATCCTAGGAAATTATGTGTCATTTCTGGAGACTGGAGGGAAATGCCAGATTGAATCAGGATCACCTGGATTTGTTTTGTTGCTGCCCTAAAAGATGGAATGTAACTTAAACAGCAAAGAAAAGCTCTGTGATTCAATACAGTGGCTCTCAATCCTCAACATGCTTCAGGATAACCTGGAGGACTTTTGAAACACAGACGGCTGGTCCCCATCCCCAGAAACTGTCTTTCCCTAGGCTTGGGGTAGGATCCAAGAATTTGCTTTTTGAACAAACTCCCAAGGGAGATGGATACTGTTGATCCAGGGACCTCACTTTGAGAACTGCTGACCTAATACATTATTTTGTCATCCCCTGGGGGGAAAAAAGTGCATTTGCAGTCTGAAATGCAGTCTGCACGAGTCTTGAGAATCAGAGCAGAGCGGGAAGGCTGGGTAGGTGGTATCTGCAGCACGGTCACAGGCACCTCGAAGGGCGCCCGTCCACTCCCAGTAATGCTGCTTCTGGGAATTTCCTAATGGCAAGGGGTCAGGCTCCCTCCAGAT